CAAACAAAGCAAGCAAATAAAGAAACCAAACATTTTAATCTTTCAAATCAAAGGCAAAATTATGCTCAGGAGCTATGCAGAGCTGAGAAGAAGGTTCTAACTACACATACCTTTCACTGACAGTGTGAAAACAAACACTGACCAAAGTATTTTTTCAGTATATTCAACTTAAAAAATTTACAGCATTAAATTTGCATTTTATTTTTTTTTTACTGGAGTTCTGAAGGGAAAGAGAGCACTTAATATTAATTGCTCATCTTGCCAATAATGCTAAACCACACCCACAAACCAGCATTTAAATCTGTTCTTTAAAGCAGAAAAGGAGTTCTCACACAGATCTCACTCCATCTCTGCTCTGCATTGTAATTGCACAGAGGTCTACAAACTAAATGATGCATGAATGTGTATAGATTCAAAGTTCAACTTCTTCAATCAAAAATCCAAAAAGCACTGCCAAAGAAGGAGGAAAAACACCACCAGAAAGGAAAAACAGCATCTGCTGATACTAAACTCTGACTTTGCCACTCTGAACAGAATTACAAAACCTCATGTAATGACAGAATAATTAGGCATCCATAAAGCAATCATTGGAACATTGTCAAAAGTCAAGTCTAAGGGAAAAATAAAAAAAGATACAAATATCAGTACTTTCTCCAGCATTCCCCAAGTCTGTGCTTTTTGCTGCCCCTGACTGACTGCAATCAATGAGTCAGCTGCAGTGGGTCGAACACAACGGGGATAAAATGGCACCTTATGAAGTAACTGCCTTCACAGATCTCCCCAGATGAGTCAGAAAGCCATTCATCAATATCCCTCCTCGTGCAGCACGGCACGGGCGGGACGGCAGCGCTCGGAGCAGGAAAGCTCACTGTGATTCCAGCCCATAAATCAGGATTTCTTACATTCAGTGCCACCATTAAGTGAGGAATGAGAACCTCCACTATCATTAGTCGACAGCTAACAAGGCATTAACATTTTCATTAACAGTGTTGACAAATCCAAATCGATTTTAAAAGCTCATTTGCATCATACCCTAAAATTGTGAAGTAGAAGGGAACAGTCTGACAACTTGATTATATGCTATAGCTTAAATTTTTGTTTTTCTGCTTATGCATAGCTGTGAAGTGCACATCACATCTGGTTATGTCCTGGTGCCCTTAGATATTTGGTTTGCAGCTGCTGCATTAACACCCTTGTGCACACAGAGACCTGAAACACACAGAGGTGATGGCCTTGGTGTTTGGTTTCTGCGACACCACAGCCTGAGATCTCTTTTCACCTGCACTGAACCAAAGGCAGTAGATCCTCTCCCACTTTGTCTCTTCACTTTTTTTGATAGGTAGACCTTTGTTCCTAGGATTAGGAAGGGTTAGTCCCAAAAGAGGCTTAGCAGCCATCCAAAATGAAAGCCTATAATGTACACTAGACACTGGTGACTTCCTTTGAATTCCAATATTATCTGCTATTGCTTTCAAATTTCATTAAAAACCCTTCAGCCAAATTAGGCACTGCCACAGACAATTAAAAAAAAAATTCTGTAATTGACAGCCTCTAAAATGAACTAATTAAATCATGTTTCAATATTCCAGATTTGGTACATAAATGCGGCTAATCTTTTTTCTTTTTTGGAAAAGAAAAATGGTATGATAGAGAGCAAGCAATTCTGAGAAACAGATTCACACAGGTGTGTATTCAGAAGAGGAAGATTATTAGACAGTTTCAAATGCACAGATACCTTAACAGCAAAACACAACATTTATCTCATTAAGGAGAATGCATTTTCCAGTTATACATTTTTGGCTTTAGAGAGAGTTATGCGCATTTGGCAAGAGGATCTTTTAATTTTAAGTAGCAAAAACCTATTACAGCCACAAAGAAAAATAGAAGGTAAAAAAAAACCCAAAAACATTCTGGAGTTGAGTGTGCTGTGCACAGCCTCCATCAGCTGCTCTCATTCCTCTCTCTAGAGGAGCACACAAACAGGGTTCAGTGTTGCATTTCCCTTCTCCCATTTCCACCTGTAGTCACAGGGCTTAAAAATGAAAGCAAAACTGCTGCTAATTAAGTGGCTTTGAATTAGACACTGCTTGCCCAGAGCAACTGCTTCAAAATTGATCTGCCATAAATTCATCTTTGCAGTCTAAGCTAACATGCTTTGCCATTTTGGCAGCAGGAAGATGAAGAGCAACCAGTGCATGATGTGGAAGTTGGTATTTTCCTCTCACTGAGTAACAAAAACATCTCAGACTGACTTGTCTGGCTCTGCTGACAGTGACAAGCAAGGGCTTATCTCTGCTGCCTTGCAGAGCACACACAACTCTGAGGCTGTTCCACAACTTCTGTTCCTTAAGATGGACAAGTTCTTCTCCAGAGTGCAAAGCAGGACAAAATAAAAAGCCAAAAAAGCAACAACAAAAAAAACCACAAAAAAAACCCCAGCAAAATAAAAACACAAGCAAAAAGCCTCACCACCACCAGCCATGGAAAGCATATTTAAAATATACCAGTAGCACAACATAGTGTTTGAAGATATTTTAGAGGATTGATGTCAAAAGCAATGTTCTTGATAAGTTTCTGATGTTTAAATATTCCTAAAATTCACACTAGGAATTCTCTTTCAAGATCCAGAGAGTTCTCCCAGAACTGGCCAGTTTTGAAGTGATTGCTTTTTAATACTGGCTTCCTAATTTCATCAGTTTACAAGCTCTCTTTTCAAAAATCACTTTTTTTAACAAAACTTTAGAAACTTAAATTCTCCTTTTGCCAATTCTTCTGCACCAAGAAACCTTGTATACGGCAATATTTTAATAACTTGCATGCCTTCCCTTACAACTCCATAATTACAGCTATCAGGATCCTGGCTAAAACTGAGACAAATAACATCATTTGTTAACAAAGGCTTTGTAGTCTGGGGTGTTTTTATCCCTGAACATGGCAGGAAAGCTGCTGCTAATGCCTGTTCCATGGGCAGTAAATTGCCCGAGGTACAGCCAGGCCCAGCACAGGCTCCGTGCTGGGTTTACTTAGGCTCTGATCAATATGTTCTGTGCATCTTGTCTATATTGGAGCTCTCCTTATTACAGGCTCAATTGATTCTCCAAGCAACAGCAGAGATTGTACTCCATGGGTAGAGCAGATGTTGTTCTGACCTCCACCCACAGGCTCAGAGTGTTTTCTGTCTGCCTTCAGTGAAGAAAAATATCCCAATAAAGAAAAATATCCAGGCACACATGGTGCCCTTGAACAATGGATGTTACATTCGTTATACAAAAGTTTCTGCTAACACTCTCCTTATTTTATTTTAAAAATTTCAACACCCACCACATCAACACCCACCATGAAAATCACAGTAAACTACTCATTCCTAAGAATTTTAGGGAAATATCCTTGACTTTTAAAAACTTGAAATTTGTGAAAAAAAAGCACACAGCAAATTCTAGAAGCCAGCACTACAGCGAAACAAAGAATCCATTTTCTGAGATTGCTATAAGCTACAGATTAACACAGAAATACCACCATTTACCAATACCAGATTGATATTGACCCAAGAAATCTTCTGTTATTTGAATTAATTGTTATCTTTAACATTAAGACAGCACAAAATCCAGAAATAAACCCACCAAAAAAATAAATGAAAATGGAAAACCACCAAACGCTCATAGGAGAACAAGGGAATCTGATAAATATAGGGAAAAAACCCTCAAGTAGGAGATACAAAAGATCCTTAAGATAGCAGTGATATAGGAAATGGAGGTACAAAGGGAGAATTGTGATCTGAAAGGATGGGATATTGCTTTTGAGAATATCTGATATAAGGAAGACCAAGGGGAGATATTGATATATCAAATATTTGTTATATTTAGAAGCCTATTTAATAGGCTGGGAAAACTGAAGGGCAGATATAAACCACTAAACTCACCCCCCCTGTACACGTAAAAAGCAGGAGAGCTTTTGAGCAAATAACTGACACAATGATGCCAATTTCTGTGCTGAGGACCACCATCCTGTCTTTGAATAACAGACAAAACAGATTGAGAAGGGAAAAAAGTGGGGGTTAAGACAACAATACACAAGAGACCAAAACACACATAAGTCTTTAGCCCTATTAGTATCAAAAGGTTTAGTAAAAACCTTAAACATCCAGAGAGCTCCTTTACCTTGAGGGGTCCAAAACCCTACAGACCCAGAGAGAGTTCCCTTGCCTCCAGGGGTCTGTGCTTACCTGCCAGGTAAGCTCGGTGCTGCAGCCCCTCCCCAATGCACCTGCTGGGGTCAGCCAGAGCAGCCAATGCCAGCAGTGCAGAGCTCTCACCATCAGCTGCAGGACACCTGTGAACTTCAGGACTTCAGGAAAGCTCAGCTGTCACAATTAGTAAAGTGCTTCCCACGATTCTTTACCAGATCAGGCTTTAATTCCTGGCAATTTTCTCTCATGTTTCAGGAATTTAGAGTATCAGGTGATTACTGTGCTAGAGCCAGTCCAAAGCCTTTGGCTAGTAGCCTGTCCAGAGTGATGAACATAACCAAAATATTTTAATTCAGGACAGTACCTTGCATCTCGTTAAAACAAAATAAGAATAAAAATGTCATAGAGATAAAATTAGGGGGGAAAAGCATTGAGTTTATTCATCCTAATGGGTATTGACACTGTATTGCTTTCTCATGTATTTTGATCTGTCTTTTATTGATCACTCTGTCTCACCCTTCCAGGTCTGGAGTATAGAGCAGCTGATACAAAGAGCCAAAGCATTTTCCTTGGTGTTTCTGCCAGGGACATTGTCCCTGGGAAGGCTCTGACCCCTATTATCAGGACCCTGGACCAAAATTGAAACATGGGTAGCTACAAACTTGGTTCTTGGAGAATTTTTTAGCACATAAACCAAGGAAAATCTCATGGTTCATCAGATTGGCAGAAAGAAAAATTCTGGCCTGCCTAAGGTACTGTCCACATACATATCTGTGCTTAGAGGCTGGAATGGGGAGAAAAATGTTTCTCTTCTCCTTTCTCTGTACATTTAAAACCATGGAATGAACTTCTAAATCTTTTGTGCAGTCCTCATCAAACCATAAGAGCATGCAGCTAGAGATTACTAAAGACCAGAAGAATCAATTTGGAATTATTGTCCTGTCAGGATTTTAGTACATGCTGTGCAATTAAAACATTAAATAATTTTAGAGAAAAACTCTAAATTTTGTTTGTGATCAAGGAGAGTGCTGGTTTTGAATTAGGGCAGTTCACAACATCTGTGCAGCAACAGTTTCATTTGTAATCCTGCCAGGGCAAGCATTAAAAATGTCTGGATTTTGGAGCATTCCTTTTCATTTGGTAGCTTGAATTTCACCTTTCCCTCCTCCACTTGTCCAACAGCTGAGCACTATAAAGCCAATGGAACAGAAAATATTATTTTAGGATCAAGATGTCTCACCAGAATGGAAGGAAAGTAAATGGTACAAACTGCCCAAGTCTTCCTTCACTAACCCTGTGCTTACACTTTATTTTTCTTTCCTGGACAGCTACAGTAGTTTCATGGAGCCCTCAGTACTGCATTATCAGTAAAGGAAAATGAAATAAACTGCTACAATTACTTGTCACTCCTGTCATTTCTCGATCCTATTAAGTAGTTCTGTGATTCATCCAAGTGGGCTGGAGCTGGGATCAGGATGTGAAAAATAGTCTTGTCTTCAGCTTAAGATATTTCTTGTATTTGTAGGTAACAAGATCCAGGTTCCATCTCTGGAACACACGTTACTCCTCATTAAATTTCAAAGAGAATGCCTATAATTTCATTCTGTTCCCTCTTCAGGTGTAGGTGTAGATGATCTTATTCACTCCAGTGGAAGATTAGAGCAAGAAGTACAGAAGATAAATACATAGCTGAAGAATTGCAGGAGTGATAGGCAATAATTATACAGCCTGATGGGATGTTTGTCACTTTTCTTGCCTTGTTTAATGTTGTTACAAAGACATAAATGCACTTTTCCTCTCCACAAAACATTTGGAGAATTGATGCTTGCTAAAGACCAAATGCATTTTGATTTAATGAAACCAAAATAATGGAAAAATGAGTGAAAAAAAATCTTCATTCTTAATCTCTTGCTATAAGCAAGGAGAATAATAAATTAAAAAAACAAAAACAAACCAAAAAGCCAACGCAGTAACACTGCCACCCCAAAACCAAAAAACACAAACAAATTAATGGGTTCAAGAGAAATTTGAAACTTCTGTACTTTGTGTAATGTAAAATTCATGCATTTCGTGTTCTCAAAGCTTTGCCAGAGCAGGCTCCAGAAGAGTTTGGGAATTGTTTGTAGCAAGGCAGATGAAGCAACAAACCCCAGGAGGCAGGCAGGGCCCAGATTAGGAAGAGAGGTGGATTAAAAGATAAATTCCTAAACATACAAGGATGTACTCTGCACTTTGACACCCACTCTGTGGTCGGTTTGGGAGGCTGGGATTTCCACTTGAGCCTAGAGAAGGAAGTTTTCCCTTTTCCAAGCAATACAAACCCACATGCTGTGGGCACCTTGTTGCTGCCTCATCTCCGTGCTTTCCCCAGAGTCTTTGTGTCCCTTAGACCCCCTGCCCTGCTCATTCCATTATAATCTCTTTGGACACCTCTGCTCCTTAAAAGCCAAGTCAGAGCTCAGGGGAAGCAAGGGCTGACACCTGGCTGGAGGCTCCCCATGTATCACATTTTAAATAACTCCCATAATAAGCAAGATGAGATATGCCTGGAAGAGACTTGATAACATTATAATAATTTACACATCCTATTTCTACTGTTTTAAATTACATTTATAGTGTTTGATATATTTGGTATCTATTTTCTGGATTTCAAAATGCATTAACTTGATATTTTTATTTTTTTTATTCAAAGGACAGATGGTGTTTTCCATCTGGGGATCAAGAAGGGGAAAAATTTCTTTATAGAGCAGAGGAAGAAGGAACTCCCAGATAAATACTCGTTATTTTCTTGTCAAGTGCTATCATTGTCCTGCCTACAAAGTGAGTAGTGAAGCAGCATTTAAGTGGCATTTTATGATAGAATAATAACTAAAACAATAATTGATACAGGATGGGATGTATTCTCATGCTTTGTTGCAAGATCTGGCCATTCAGGGACTCTACTTCAAACCTTTAACAGTTTTTGAAACAAACTCAATATAGACTTAATTATCTGGAAATTAGTAATGAAAAATAAAGTTCTTTTCTATTTAAATTTTCAAATTTAAAGGATGCATTAAGCAAAAAAGAGATCATACATAATTTAATGTAATTTAGGAAGCAAATTAAAATATCATTTCACTCCTCCATCTAGTAACACTGCTCTTTCAAACTCTGGGGATGTTGTTTAAAGCCAAAGATGGTGGTTTCCTTGACAATTCTAGATAGGAATAGACACCCTTAAAAGAAATAAATAGAACAAAAGGGCACAAATAAGCAGGATTTACTAAATTGAGGGTTCAGGAAATAAGATATCCCGGAAGACTTAACATTGAAGATATATATTAGAATGAAGAATAAAATGTAGGTTAATCTTGATAATGAGACCCAGAAAAACCCAGAGAAAATGTCATTGTCAACATGTTAACATGTGCAGAGTTGGGGTGAGAATTGGATGGCTTGAGACAGTCAATGGGATTTGTAGGTTTTCATCTGCTGCTCATCAGGGCTGGTGTAAAACTGCTCCTGGCCAGTGGCTGCTGGAGAGGGCAGCTTGGGGGGGTGCCAGGGTATTCCCAGAGAAACAGGATGGGAGAGTCCAACAGACCAACCAAGGGCTCCCACAGAACCCCCTGGGGAACTGGTTTGCCTTGGGTGAAAGACAAAATTCATTTTCAAGGTATTAAAAAGCCAAAACCCTTATGGAATATGAACTTCATCCCATTACCCTGCCATGCACCTGAGCTTGAGGAGACCAATACTGACAATCTTAGCAACAGTAAAACAACAAATTGGAATTATTTTTGTCCAGAGCAAAAGCTGAGAAGGAAAACTCACTTCTAAAAATTGGGAATTTGGTTAACTTTGCTATAGCAGTGTTTAATTACATACTTCCCTAAGTATAAACATGGGAAATTGTGAAAGTAAAAGACTCTTTCTGAGCTAAAACTGGCTGAACAAAAATTTCCAAGCTGAATGTTTTAGAATCAGGATCGGAGCAAAACTGATGCACAGAAAACACCTAACATAGAAATACAGTGTCCATAATTGGACAGTGCTTGGTCAAACTCCATTGTGAAAGATTCTCCTTGGCATATTGCAGGAGATTTTCATGCTCCCCTTCTGTGCTCTCACCAACTCTTTAGAAATGTTTTAGATAAGCCTTTAGCTGCTCAAAGCTTTTGCACATTGAACCTTTCTCCTAGAGAGTATTTAAAACATACAATGAAATTATCTAGTGAAAGACTTGAGGTTTCTTATCCTATTTCTATTGGATAGATGACTGCATCTCTAAAGCTTTGCTCATATTCATCCTAAAAAGCTGTTTATATGTGAAGGCAGGAAACTGATAATAATTCTTAGGGTATATGGTTTGTGCAAGCAACAGTGTTACAAACAGGCAAAAATAAAGGTAGGGGTTTAGGTTTCTGTTTTGAATTGATGCACTAAGTATCTCTGCAGTTTTTCCTTACTATTTCAGCTGGAGAAACAGCTATGCTATATTTTTCCCAGTATCTTTAAAACGTAAGACATTTCAAAAGCCATTGACAACTTTGTAGTTACATCCCCAATTATCAAACCTCAAAGATGTATACACACACGTGTATATAGGTTATTATAAATGTGATTTCACTGTTACCTCAGTCAAATGAAGAACATATTCCTGCTGCAGGATGACATAATGTCTGCTTGCTTTTCAGACACTGCAACCTTAAAAGTAATAATAAAAAGCCTGTCAAATATTTCAACCATCTTTTGGCCTTCAACAGTCCTGGTATCTTTTACATTAGTTCAGCTCTTGTATGTTCTAAATAATGCAAAACACTAACAGAACTCTATCAGCAGGGAAATCACTTTGGTGGCTTTTATTTCTTTTTTATGGCATCTCTGTACCTCAGAAATGTCTTTTTTTTTTCACTGCTGAAAGTCATGCACCATTGTTTCAGTGAAAAACCTTAATTAATAACCTCCCTGGTGCAGCAATCCTTTGCAGAAGCAGGGAAGAGCACACCTATGTCCTAAAATCCTCTCCACAATTGTCATCCTCAAAGATATTGAGGGACTGGCATCTTTTCTTTAGCATGGTTATTATACAGATATGTCCAGAGACAGCTTTCGTTTAAAGCATTTCAACTTTCAGAATCTGAAGGCATTCCCACATTTTTTTTACAAGTCACACTTCAGACCAGTAGCTTGAAAAGAACATAGAGGACTTTTGCAATATTGTAAACACTGTTCCCTCAAAATTTCATCAGCCTCCTATAATTTAGTAATGCAAAAGTAAAAGAAACAGGTAGCTCATAGGAAGCTACTGACAATTAACAAGGAGGTAGAAAAGGCTGCTCACTGGTCTGTCTAATGAAACTACAAATTAAATGTTGAATGTGGGCTAAAATACAACTTCTGGCTTTCCTTGCTAACAGTAAGAAAAACAAGCTTGGGTGTTTCTTTATAGAAAGTGAAGAGAAATGAGCAAAGCTGTATCTTCTCATCCTTGCTCCTGAACTCGGTCCTTGAATGAAAAAATTTCCTTAGTCTAATAGAAGAAACACTGAGCAGGGGTGGGTTTTTTAAAGTATTTATCAGCTTTGCTGCCCTTTCACACATTCAATAGGTTCTTTTAACCCTAATTTTCAAATTCCATGAGGTAGTATAGTAACATTTCTCAAACAAAATATTTCAAACCTCCGTATTCAAATTACTATACAAATAAATAAGGAGGTATTTTGGCCATTTGATGAGACCCAACAAAAGGCAGGTCACAGTAGCAGGCAACATTCTTTAAGCCAGCATCACAGAATCACACTCAACTTCTTATTTTCTGATATAAGAGACAGAAAAGGGCTTTTTATTGAGTTGTTTTTAAAGAGGCTTTACTGTATGGAGACCGCTGTTCCAGTTATAATCTCATCAGCTTGAGAGCTGCTCTTCAGACATTTCAAATGTTCCCAGTGTAAACCTGCTCTTCCCACATTTACCTGCAGCTGAAAAAGCCTGAACGTGTGCTTAAAAGTCTGGCTAAGCTGAGAATTACAAGAAAAATTTATTTATGGCTGAATGTTTATTCTTCCCTCATAAAGTCCAGAATTCTCTGTACTCTTTATCACACACTAAGATTCACTTCCCCATTTCCTAACTGCCTAAAAAGGTGTCTAGCAGAAAATATTTGGTATTTTATTTAGTTATAATTCTTTGATAAGTTAGAATTGCTTTATTGTGCAGGTGATGAACATTAATTTCACAGTATATTTCAACTAACAAATTTACCCACCTATTAAGATGACTGCTTTAAAAAAAATGCAAACAAATATGCAAAATGTGCAAATCAATTCCCAATTACTAAAATTACATTTGTTATCTACATTCTGGGAATTTCCTAATTGTTAAACAATTACCACTGCTTTTACAGATATGGTTGATGCTACTGGAAACTGATGTTTATGTTTTGGAGGGAAAAAATCACAAGTATTTGATTTACATATAAAAAAACTTGGGTTTTTTCACTCACAGTTTGTTTGTGCTCCATTGGGATGAGTGGGTATGTTCTCATCTGGGTTTCTGCTTTTATTTACTTCTGGAAAAAAGGAACCTGAACTTCACCTAAACTGCTGAACATTGGTTTTTGTGACTCAATGTGCAATTCAAATTTAGCTCTTGCAATGCCCTGGTCACTACTGTATGAACAGTACTGCCTAAAGGGTTATTATTTAAGGTCACATTAATTTCACAACTGTTCTGACATTAATGCACTCCTTGTTCCCTTAGTTAATGTTTCCGCACATTTTATTGCTCCGAACAGAAGTCTGAAAATAACTGACTTTAATGAAGTGAACCACAGGGTGTCAAACCCTCATTTCTGTATGTACAGATGTAAAATGCAATTTTTTTCCCCCTCTCTATATATACTGTGCTGATCCAGCTATCCAGAACTCTTAAAATAGCATTAATGTGCATGCAAAGCAGCTCTAAAGACTTCTCTTATTTTCACAATAAGATAAAACAATTTAATGTAAATCTAGATTGATATTTTGATTTAAATATATAATAAAGGACATATTGTGGATATTTATTCAGCACATGGTGCTTCTGAGACTTTTCTGTGCCCTGGTTTGTTGGGGTTTTTTTCAATTCTTAATGTGCAGCTAAGCAATGTGCTTTATGCTCTCAGCAAACATCTCAATGCTTTGGTTTCTCTTGTGAGATGCTTTCCAGCTGAATTCCGGGGATGTCCACACTGGCCAGAGTTGGCACATTCTGCACAGTCTGGCCTCATTCACATCACACAGGATTTGGCCACATTCTCAGTCCCAGATTCTGCTCTGAAATCCCCAAGACACAATGTTTTTGGGGTAGTTCTCAGGTGAGAGCACTTGCAGGTTACCAGTTTGAGAAGTTTCATATTGGCTCTGCCATGTCCAGGTGCATCTCAGGGATTTAGCTGATCAGGAAAAGTAGAAATAAATTGGCAGTAGTGAAGAGCCCAAATTTACAGCCTGAGCACAGTTACTTGGCCTGGGTTTGGAAAACCCAGGGAGCAGTCAAAGACAACAGAGCAGAAAAGCCTTTTCAGAGCAGTGCCACACTTCCCTCATGGATCTCCCAAGTTAGACACTGATTATTGACAAAGCAGGCCTTAAAGAGATCTCTGAGGTGACCTGAACAAGGGTCTCTGCTTCCAAAAGTACACCTGTTTTTCTAACTACAGCAGGTGTTCTGATAGAGAATATTTCCTCTTGTCCAGCCCATGACCTTTAGATGAAAACCAAGTCCCACTGGAATGATTCAGTTCCTCACAGGACACCAGCACTCAGCCTCCAGTCTTTCTATTTAGGTGACAAGAGGGGTGTTGGGCAGAACTGTTTATTTCAGCCTTTGCTTTAACCTTTTTCCCTGCTCAGTGCTATGTGAAAACAGTGCTTTTTCCATGTTTACCCTGCTGTTTTGTGTAAGTCCAGGAATGTATTTCTGCACTACACCCTTCGGGGCTATGTGTGTTCCCAGGCTATACCTGTGTCCAGAGCCAGCACTTTGGGGAAGTGATGATGAAAATGTGAAGGGCAGAACAGAAGACTTGAAGGTACAGAAATACCACAGTCCTTGAGGAACAGGTAAGTCACAGGCATTTTAAACACAGCAAGGCAGAAATACAGAACTGAAAGGACTGAATTTTAAGAATATTTCTCAAGTACGTAAGGCACAAGATGCTGACAAAGGAGAAAACAATTTCTCTGAAGGACAACAAGAGATGTTTACTGTTGAACAAAATACATCTTAAAATAAACTTTAAACAAGGAAGATGTGCCACAGAACAACTGCAGTTAGTCAAGTTTAGTTTATGTGAACACCACGAGTTCCAACCCTTTAACCCTTTTCAGTGTCCAGTCTATAACACATCCAAAGAAAGGTCCCTTGCTAGCAGTGGGATCCACAGCATCCCATAGGAATTCAGAGGACTCATTTTCAAAGAGTTAAAGAACTGCTATGGTCATCAGCATACAAATAAAAACAGCATTTATAAACCCAGTGCTCAGAAAACAAGTAGAACCTGAAAAAAGCCATGTTTTCAAAACTATGGAAATTCACTTTCTTTTGATCTTTTATCTTTCTGCTTCACCTGTTTTTAAGAGTTTGTTTAGTCGGGTTTTTAACTCCAGGGCGTGCTTGGGTTCGTGCTTTTTCCTGCAGCCTTGACAGCCAGATATTTACCTGGAAAGGAAGCTGTGATTTATAGGCATTAAATGACTCCTGAAGGTAAACCCTTAGGAACATCACCAATTATTGCAAGAGCTGGGAGCCTCTAGTAGTAAACATGTATTTCTACCCTTACTAACTCCTGCAACAGAACTACACCAGATTCCTTCATTTTCTTTTCCTCTGAGAAATGCTGTTTGCTTTGTGTTACAGAAGTTACTATAGAGGTAGATCAGAAGAGATAATGTAAAATACTCATAAAATTTTAAACATTCATTTCATTTGCGTTCCTGGCTCCAGTATTCATTTGTTAGAAAAACTTTAGCGCACAGATATGGAAGGAATATTTTTGGATGTGCTAGAAAATATTCTAACTCTAAGTATGGAGTTGCTTTTTTTGAGACAACTTCATGCAATTATCCTACTTCTAATTGGAATAAAAATAAAATATGCAACATAGATAACCAATCTAGTCAAATATTCCCAACTCAGTTTCAAAAATGCACTTTCAACCAATAATTATTGACTCTAAAATGTATGGAAAACATTGCAAGCCACTTTTGTGAATAGAAATGGAATACATAAAGACAGTTACTTGTCAGGAATTATTTTTTCACACATGCTGGCAAGTATTTAAAAATCCCTTACCTGCTGTGCAGCACCCAGAGAGTGAAAGGACAAAAAGGTTAAAAATGGCCTTGGAGCATCTTTTGTAGCAGACCTGCCATTGATGGCTGAAAAAGCCTAAAGCAAAATACAGAGACATTTTCCTCAGGGTGTAAGAATTTAGCTGGAAAGGGTTTGCTAAGATTGGAGTTGGGTCACTGTAATCTTCAACAGAAACTGAGGACAAATTTGCAGTGAATTGGGGAAGAGGAGTGAAATGTTGTCATAAAACCAGCCTAGGGAAGAAAGGACTGAAGATATAGGCAGGTTTCATCTTTGTAAAGAGAAGCACATGGAGTTATTAGAGACATGTTTTAAACATTCTTAAGGTGGGGGGCAGGTTAAGTGCCTTCCTCAAATCCAGCCACAAAGAACCATAAACCTTAGAGCAAGATTTGAGCACATAAATAACTTTCCTTGAGCTAGGACTTTATTGAACTTGCTATAATTTTCTGTATAGACAAAGCATTACTAAAGAAAACAACAAGAGTAAGAACTTGTAATTGGAACTGAGAAAAAATACAAGCCAGGTATTGGAGAACAGCAGTTGTCCTTAAATAATAACAGATTTTTATGTTGATTAAGAAAATGTATTATTTGGTTGAATCCTTAACAGCACTCACAGTTAACTGATTAAAGTTAACAAATGAGATTTATATACCTCTCACAACCTCTTCTTTCCTCTTTAATGAGGAAGAGGCAGAATCTCAAAATGCCTCATTCATCTCCCACCAAACTCGGGAATGGAATCAAAAATTACAAGTTATTCCTCTTCTCCCATGGCACAGTCAAAATTTGAGGGAGAGCCTCTGATCCTTTCGTGTTGGAGGATTAAACTAATTTAAAATCTTCAAGAGAAGTGTCTGGTGAAGAAGCTCTGAAATCTCAGAACTGCACATTCAGTCCATGACAGCACTAAAAGATTAAAATTTAAAATTGAGAAGACCTACAGTACAAAGTGTGCACATTTATCTGTGGGCATTATTTAAAAGCCTGTTTGAAGTCAACTGATGACTTTCCAGTTCATTTGATGAGATTTAGAGTAGGACACATGAACATGATACAATAAACAATTTATACAGTTACTGTCACACCTGTCAGTAAAATGAGACTTTAACAATTCATTCCTGTGCCTCAAACCAAATTAGACCTGTTATAAGAAATCTTAAAACAATCCAAATAGAGACAAGCTTGTAGAGATGAAGACTTGTACCCTCTGCAAGATGCTGTATATTAGAAAAGTATTAATATTGAGCTTTTGATGTAGGTGCTGTCCTGATTTCATGCTAATTGAACAGAACAATTTTTGCTGATAAAATTAGGTCAATTATATTTAATTGGATCCATTAAACCAACTATAATCTTATTAATAATTGGTAGACTTCAGTTATCAGAGTTTTCTTCATCTCAAAGTTCCTTGGTTTTGTTTCATTGTCTCACCTCTCCATCCTGTAATCCTAGTCAAAAAATAAACTCCTCTGTCAACATCTCTTTCAAAGTTTCACCATTCACGTGTTATGAAAATTCTATGTATTTCTATTTTCACTCCCATTTCATAGCAGCAGCAGAAATACCATGTAGCTGTGCTCAGATATATGGAATTTAGACAGCAGCTGTCCCCACATTTTTTAAAAAAAACCCTCACGAAATTGTACTTATGCAAATCTATCAGTAATTCAAGCATTATAGTTCATAAACAGGAAAAGCTTCTTCTGAACAACTTAATTTTTATCAGGTTATTTAAATTCAGCATAAGTATGGGGGCATATATCACATGACAATTAGGCACCCAAAAAGGACCTGACTGTTAACAAAAAACCCCGTTTTTGATTATTTGTCTTATTTTTGATGCCCAGACAATTAAATCTGCCTGATTCAATGCTCTTCCAAAGACAACCTGTATGTTTTTGTTACACACAAACTGCAAGTGATGATAAATTAAAAATGTTCCCAAAAGTTCTACTGCATTCCAATCCTTATTGAAAGCTCACAAATGTAACTTCCCCAAAATGTGGTATATACGAGGTACATGACTTAGTTTCAGAGTATGTTTGTATTACATTTCTAGCTCATAATTTGCTTTTTTCAGCAGCTTTTCTCAAATTGATGTGACCTTACAGTGTACACAGCAGAAATGTTCTAATTTAAAAAGTTCTAGGTAAGTTTCAACTGCTTTTTTTTCCTAATCAACCAACCATTATAAAAATTAGAAGAAAAGTTGTGTTTTTTTAAAATATGAAGATACAAGGGTAGATCTTCATAATCTGGATGTTGATATTAATTCCTCCTATTGCCACCTTCCAAGAATGAAGCTTTTCCATTACTATTGCCTAATGGATATTTCCTATGGATAATTATCCTCTTTAATGGGTAATGTATTTAGGAAAATGTTTGGTCATAACTCTAAGATTTTCAAAACAAATACTTAAACCATTCCATCTGTATCCCATAGATATAGAAGATATTCAGAAATGTCCATACCAGTTTTGCAAGGGTTTTTTCACTTATTCTCCTCTTTCACAGCATCTTGTTAAGAAATAACAGTTACTTGAGGGCTTTGGGTTCCACACTTAAATTATCTAAAGCACAGGGAGAAGATTGGGGATTTTTTTTGTTACAATTATACCCTTATAAACTGATATGCAGCATTGATATTCCTTCTTAGCAGTTATCAACTTGACCTCTAATGAATAGAACAGATTTATGGGAAACTCATTTAAGAGTCAGGTTATGACTTTGGAGATTCATACTGGCTGATAATTAACAGCATGTACTGAACAATTCATGAGAGCTTTAAAATTGAACTTCAGCACTGTAAACTGGAGGGTACTACAGGGGCAAGGGGGTTTGGGTTGGATTTACTGTTTGCTGGTCACAGCAATAACAGGACAGAGCTGTGATCAGTCTCATTTCCCAGAAACCTTTGCTCTGCCTCAGTACTCCATTTTTCACACTTCCTACAAGTAACATAAAGTGGTTTGTGTTGAAAGAGACCCTAAAGCTCATCTCATTCCACCCCTGCCACGGGCAGGGACAGTGTCCCCCAGACCAGGTCGCTCATGGCCCCACTGAACACTTCCAGGGATGGGGCAGCTGCAGCTTCTCAGGGCAGCCTTTGCCTCACCACCCTCACTGGGGAGAACTCCCTCCTAACATTTAAATCTGACCTCTTTCCATTTAAAGCACTTCCCTTTTGTCCTGTCCCTCTGGGGCCTTGTCCCAGGTCCCTCCCCAGCTCTCCTGGAGCCCCTGCAGGCACTGGAAGTGGCTCTAAGGTATCCCCAGAGCCTTCTCCAGGCTGAACACCCACCCCCAGCTCTCCCTGCCTTACTCCAGCCCTGTGAGCATCTCTGTGTCCCTCTGGACTCACTCCAGCAGTTCCACATCCTTATGTTCTTACCCTGCCTTCCTCCAGTGCTGGAAGGAATGCTCCAGGTGGGAGTCTCATGAGAGTGGACTGGAGGGACAGAATTGCCTCCCTTAACCTGCAAGCATCAAACTTTGGGGTTTCATTATAACTGCCAAGTTTATTTAGCAATTATTATAAAGTTATATACTGTAGTATTATTTCAAATACTGAGGACAAATAGAGATCCAGAATTCTAGCTCACTACTAGGGAAAGCAAAAGTAGTGTTTTGCTCCTTTTTTTGTTTTGGCTGCAGATGGAAGTGTGTACAGTGTTGCTGCTTTCTATGCTCTGCTCTACCTCAACTTCCTGGGACAGCAAACCAAACTGTCCCTTCGGTTTTCCTCATACACGTACCTCAACTTCCTGGGACAGCAAACCAAACTGTCCCTTCGGTTTTCCTCATACACGTCACTATTCATTACTGTATGTAAGTACGTACAAACACAAGAGCTGCACACAGAAATAAACACAGAGAGATTACTGCAGATTTGTGAACTGTTTTCCCTAGTTTTCCACATCAGCCTTGGCTACCTACCCACCACGTCCCCTAGATGTCACCCTTTCAATATTTGAACTGGAATAAAAACTCTCCTTATGCTGACGATGAAGAGAAAGTCTGAACTTTCATGTTTCAGTTCAATGTTTGCCTCAGTTTCCCAAATATCCCTCAGGTTTCTGCATTATCCAAGACCTTTCACTCAGTTCAGGTTTCTCCCTCAAGTCAGCCTCAGGGGGAGCTTTCCTTGCTCCTCCTGAAGTTTCTACTTTTACCAAGTTCCCTGCAATTTGAGATAGAAATTTCACAAGGGTGATATCAAACCTGCTCAGAGCCTGGACACTCCAACTGGGCAGTCCAAACTGAGTAGAGATGAGGATTTTCAGCAAAGGCTTTGATTTCTCTCCACTGCATCCTTTCCTCAATTCTACAAGTAAAAATAAATACATCTACGTTTAGCAATGCAAATACAGAGTCAGTGGCATCCCGTGTGGCAGCAGTGAACAGATTACAAAACAGGCTGAAAGGGAAAATTTCAGTTTTCCTGAAAATTGATCAGCAGAACACTAAAAATTGTATAAGCACTACTACGTTGTCCAAAACTCTGTGCTGGTGCTCAGTCTTACAAAATTTAAAAATTGGTTTTATTCATGTGAACAATCTCATTGATGCCTAAAATATGAAAAGCTAAAAGCATGATTGATTTTTTTTTCCCCCCAGGCAAGATTAGAAAAAGTGCTAATTCACTCCTGCAGTATTATTCCAGTTCTTGTTACAAGAAAAATACATTAAATAGTTCTTTATGTCAACATTAAGAGCAGAAGAAAATAATTTTCAGTTTCCTCCAAACTGCATAGTAAAGTTATATTTGATTATCTTGAAGCACTTTTTCTTCAGAAAAAAATAGCAAGATATGCACACAAGAAAAGTGTGCACCATATCAATACAAAGAGATTATTCCAAGTACTAATTGGGGGAAGAAAGAGAGGGTCTGCTGGTGTGAATTAGATAAAGCCATCTTTCAACAGTTTCAGTTGTTCTTACTTCAGAGTGAGACAAAGGAAAGACATTAAAGATTACTGACAACCTGTGTATTTGTCCTCCTTTTTTCTACTTCAAACACAGACTGACTCCTGTATTTATGTTTTCCTGAGTCAAGCTACAGATCTAATGAGCTGCTCTATTTTTATTTTCTTTTTGTGAGAACATTCTTTGAACAGCTTTTTTTAAAAGATAGGGTTTTTTTTAATTCTCATTGTTGGAAAATGTGACAATTACACTATGTAGGCAATTGTAGCTGGATTCAGAGCAAAGTTACTTTGAATATTCTTTATGTCCTGAATTCCTTACCTCATTACATACTGAAAACTGCTGTGGGAAGATAACCATAGCTGGATGTAAATTCCAATTTGAAACCAAACGTAAAGCATGTTTCCAAGAATGCATAATTAAGCAGCATTTGTTAGAGTCAATTTGAGTGCATAAATTATTGAACACGGGTTAATTTTGGTCGGATTAAAAGCACCACCTGTTCGCTTCTATGGAAAATACAATAATTTCTGTTTCAGTGCTGCATTTGAGTATTTGGTTTCATCCTTTCAGGATGCAGTTGGTTTATGAATACCCTCCAGTACTGAGAAAGCAAACACATGCCTATTTTTCTGTTCTTCCATAGCTAAACTCTACAACTCCAAAGGTGTTTTCCAGGTAGGGAAAGCACCCTAGATCAGGGTACTCAGACAAGTGTTCCAGTGTGTGTAAAGGTTTAAATGCTGCAAGGCAATTTGCTGTTCATCAATGAAGTTCAGAGCAATATTGGGAGTTGCTGTTCAGATTTGAGACAGGACTCAATGATTGCTACAAAACAGCCACTTATTGAAGCCTTTCACAGCAGTTCTCCCATTCTGCTCCTCTCACTAGCTGTTACATTCCAGACCGCTGAGGAAAATGCTCCTTTCACCTTCTCATGTAGAGTTGTTTCCAAACGACAAGCTTAAAAATGGGTTTACAACTGTGAGGTTTAAAAAGGGGCTTGGTAGACTGCAGTGAGCCACAAGCAATCGCTGTAAATGTTTCAATGCAAATCTCTTCCCACTAAATCTTTCAACTTTGATGGTAGGGTGAACCCTTGACTTGCTTAGCATCTGAGGAGGAGGCATGAAAATTCAGAGCTTTGGGGAAAACCAAGGAGACTACAAGTCAACTAAAAATCCATGTGGATCCACAGGACACGGACCCTGTGGAACTTGAACCCTACTGATTTTTTTTAAGCAGAGATTCACAGCCGTACCTTAAAAAGCGACCTGTCACACTCTACCGTAGCGTTTCTTATCTTCAGTTAGTGCAGTGTCTGTCCTCCACAGTCCTGTGTGCCTGAAAGGGGCCACTACATCAAGGGACAGGGTTAAAAGTTTATAAGGTACAGTTGTTGAAATATGCTGTTCAAGGAATATATTCATTAGATGCAGTTTGGGAAAAAGGAAAAAATACACCAGTGAAAGAATTTATCCAAGAAGTTCTCTTTTTAAAAGTATTCTAGGGACACTGTCAGTTCTTGGAACAAGATAAAGTGAGTTGTAGACACTACAGAAGCATCACTTTTAGCAGCATCAGATGTTCAAAGGAGAGATACATTTAAAGCCTTTCAGTGTAGGGGGCACTGTGGGAATTCTGTAGAAGCGGGATCAGACACCCTCTCTCATCTTCCAGCTGTCAAATTCAAACCCCAAAGTGTTCAATTTCATCAGTAGATATGTTGAAAAAGGAACCCATGAAAACAAGCTCAGTGCAATAAAAGCAAGGCTGCAATACATGAACATGGTGACAAGGCAGCAACAAGATTAAAATGTTGCTCAGAAAAAGAAAAGGGTAATTTCCAATCCCCAGCAGAATTGAGAGAGCACCACGCACACGGAGGAACTCTCCAAGTGGCTGGCAAGGCACCCCTTCTCTCTCCTGCTTCTCTTTTTTTCCTCCATTTTACAACCAAGTTTAATTCTACATCTTGTGTGCTTAACTGCCAGAGAAGTGGAGTGCAAGGACAGTAAAAGCTTCATGAAGTATGTCAAGAGAAGTAACAGAGACAAAAATCCAATGAGAGCTGAATTTTGAATAAAAGCAAGTCACTTTTTCTTTGCAGGAGTTTGGGCCCTTGTGCCTAAAAATATTACTGCAGGTAGCTTTATTGCCACAAGCTTAAACTTATTATTACAGTTCTGGAACCTCAGTCCAAATTCAATAAACTGATATGTAAAGTCTTGGTCCCTCAAATCCCAGAAGTGTTGCCAGAATTACTTATCCTATTCATAAAAACTCTGTTATCCCATGGAATTCACTGCAAGTGATGAACTTCTAGCAAAACACTCAGCAGAGCAGAGTACAGACCTTTCTTACGGTGTGTGGTAGAGACTGGCACCAAACACTAAAGCTGTGTGACTCCTGGTGATCTCATCCTGTAGCTGTTCACGCAAAAAATTGTTTTTCTCTTTCACTTCCCTCAGATCCAGACCTTTTGATTTTGGTTTGATGTGCGGATTCGAAAACATAACTGTGAAATCAACTTGGTTTCACCTGACTTAAAGTCAAAACCAGTCCATTTTATACACTTCCCGTAATACTTAGAAACCTGTTCAGACCAGCCAATCTTTTCTTCGTGACCCTCATGCAAATTTCCATTTTTTACTGGATGGAAAACAAACTTCCATTGTGTAGAAGGCCTACATAGCCTCGAGTTCCCCAATCCTAATTTACCTAATCAGCACACTACAGTTTACAAACTCCAGCATTTGTAAAGTATTTACCACCTAGTTAAAAACAGCACAGGATGTTTGTTAGAAATATTTTCATTTCTATATGGTACCAGGAGAATATGTTAGCATTTTTCTTTTGATGTCAAGTGCTATCTACCAAACAAATCCACACTGTGTTTTTTTAAATTCAAGAGATTGCAAAGTAGGAGAGACTGCATTTGTAGGTTTATGATTCTTATTTAAGCAGCTGCTTACATAAATCCTCAGGTATGCATGATTAATTATTTGCTTTCTAATCCCTGTTCAAAAGAATGCATCTGCTTTTATGTTTAAATCAGGTTTTAGCAGCCTTTTTTATGCATTTGACAAACTAAAAACGCAGACACCTGTACATTCAAAAGCATTCTTGTAATGCTATTTATACTCATCTCTTCCTTAGCACACCTTTGCGAGAGCTGTGATGAGCTGTCACACATGATCTGCTTGCCATGATATTTGGAGTTAAATGTATTTTCCACAATTGTGCATTTCACAGAGGATAGACTGGCATTCCAAACACTAATGTAGATAATGGGTATTCTCCTCTAATATCCACATTTTTAGCCCAATCTATGGGATTATAGCACAAGTTTAACCATTATGCTTATTGAGTCACCTGACAAGTCAGATTACAAAAGTTGCATTTGGGGTAAAAAAACTTTTCCAAGGCAAACTGATATGAACAAGTATTGAATTAAATCCTTTTCAAAAGCCTTCATGTTTAAGCTTTGAGACTGACTGTAAAACCTGAATAAGTGCCCTGAGAGCCTGTTCCTTAAGGATGGTTCACTTGTCCTGTACTTGGATGAGATAAAGCTGAACTTCACCTTTTCCTCAGCAGAAGGCCTGAGTCAGAAATGAACAGTTTATTGTAAATGATTGCATCACATGGAGCTGAAGGTAAGAGGAGAGGCGCTGTGATGCAGCTCCCCATGGCAGGGCAGCACCTGCACCAGCTCTTTTTCAGGTGAGTTATATTTCACAGAATATTGATCACACTGCTTCCTCCCCTCAAATGCATGCTGGATGTTGATGTGAATGCTGCAATCAGACAACCACAGAAATGTAAAAAAGAAATTGATAAAAACCTAAAAACACTGTCTAACCATCTCCTATAACAAGGCAGAATCAACTGTGTCAAAATTAAAACACACTACATAAGCATTCCTTATATGGATACTTCCAAACTTCTCCCTAAATTGGGACCTTTCACATCGGATTTGGGTCGTGTAGTTTTCTTTAGTACTTAATTACCCCACATTTTATTGTGCTTCATTATCTGAAATAAATGTAATCCTTGTCAAACCGTTCAGTCTATTCATGGCACATGTAATACAAAGGCTTGTTACATCAAGCGCGCTGCCAGCGATAACTCAACTATTTTCCATTCAATTACAGAACACACTGATTTTCCTGCTGAGTCACCTCAAATTCAATTTCTCATTGAGAATTCAACTAAATTACTTGCCCATGAATTAACAATGCTGAATGCTAATACAGACATTGAATTATATTACATTTCAGTGACTAGAAGACGTAATTGCAGCTGGCAAGGTCTACTTCATTTTTTTTTCTTCTTTTCCAATTTTGACTTAGTGATACTACCTTTTAAACCCAATGCTCCATGGCAAAAAACATC